CCTCCTACAATTGACATAGGGTATATGCGTACCACCTGCCCACCCATCCTCGAGATCGTCTCCAGCGCATCTTCTTGCTCCCACTGTGAGACCCTGTGCCAAGTCTCATCTTCCACGACGTGCAGATTTGGGACATTGAACGAAATGAAGCGAAAAGCCTCGCCATTTAGGAATAGGCGATCCTTTTTTCTGACAACAAATTGATCTAACGCGTCTTTTGCCCCGTGAAAGGATTTTGCTGCGCTTGAATGCATGTCATGTTTGAGATTGCGATGCACAGATGGGAAAAAGCCCGACGAGCCCAATCGATCTTTTACTTCCGGAAAGAGCAGCATAAGCGCTGGAATAGTGAGGATCGCAAGCTGAATAAAGCAACGATACTTTTTCCGAGTTGAATTTTGACATGGTTGAACCATTGTGGCCTGTGGCATGTGAAGTTATTTGATGTACGCTCGAATCGTTTCCTCTCTTTACAAAATATCCCCAATTTAGACCACATAGCCATACCTCGTTTACACACTGGAATCCATTTCTAACGAATGGGAGTGTAGGAGCAACCTGAGGCAGTCTATGTGGCTTTAGAGCCAGGGACTGCATGACAATTGGTGGGAGGTTCTTTTCTAACCGCCAGATTCTCCTTCCTATGTTGCCACAAAGAAGGCCCTTTGGTTGAGCACATATGCTCCTCTATCTGTATTATTCATCATATCGTTTGAAAGGTTATCATAATTTTATTTTTGAAATACACGGGTAGAAGTGGAAGGCTCGAAGTCCGTACCTTTCATATGGGTCTCCAAGCTTATGCCATCGCAGGAGAAGTGCGGAAAATATGACCTACCAATGCGATCACGTCTGCGCTATTTACAAGATGGTATCAATCAGCAAAGGACCCAAAGAGAGGCTGCGCGGGCCAAGCACCCATATGAGGCAACGGAAACCCTCTTAAAAGACGACCCGGGACAGCGTAACGGTAGAAACTTCAAGCCGTTGGCGGCACAGGGAATGGTGCGGCCGTGAGGTCAGATAAAC